CTGATTATGAGTCTGTTTCCTTGTTATTAATAAAATTTGCAAAAATTGCAGAGGAGATCAAAAACTCCCGAGAGGTACTTTTGGTGGAAAAGCACGATTTTTTGCTGGGGAGGGGGGGGGGAATGGTGTTCTCGTATTTTAGTCCATTTTTCTCCATAGTCTTGACTTGTATGATACTATTTTAAGGGTTAAGTATTTGCCGATTTGATAATTTGCAATAAACGTGTTCTGTGCGATACGTCTCATTTCACCCTAACTTCGCTGTAGTTTAGCTAGTTCGAGGTGTCTAGCCAGATAAATTGGAGATACTGCCATAGAGATTTCTGAGTCGGTCAAGGCTTGTCTAGGGTAGCAATCCGCTACAAGTAAGTGGGATAAATTTTTATTTCACTAACACCATTCTCCCTTCATTTCACAGCGGCGCCGGATTCAGAATGATTATCAGAAAGCTTGCATTGGACATCGAAGAATTGAAAAAGAGCTGATGGTAACTAAATTTATAAAGTATTGTATGGATTTATTTGGCGTGTAGTCTTGAAATTTTTCGACCTTTGAATGCTGCCAAGGATCAGTAATAGAGAAAAGCCTATGTGAAGTTCTTCTTTAAAGTCAGCAAGATTGGACTCACAAAGTTGAAATTCAGTTGAATTATAAGGATCTGGTTTTTATATTAGACGAGATATAGTGCCCCTCGCTGAATTTTCCATTTTCATGAAAATAATTTCCTTTCAAAAAAAGGTCTCCGGATTTTTGAAAAAAATTGTTTCAAATATGTACTATTATCTCATAAGTTGACAAGCTCGTAAAAAATAATGGCAATGATTAGAAGAAACCACCCAGAAGGTTCATGAATTTTCGAAAACTATTGTCACCTAAACATGATGAGGATTTTCTAGTTCAGTAGGCTGCAGCTGCAACATCTTGGAACCTCCCTAATCTGGCAGTGTATCGTGAAGTAGTATTAATACTAAAATACTATTTCCATTCATGGTCGACCAGCCTAGAGACCTCTACTTCGTCAGCGCATCTGAAGCCTTTGTTCCATAGTCTAGCGATTAATGTGCAGGTCTTGTCATTCGAATTTGGACTGTCATTTTATCTGCACCTTGGAAGACCGACTTATTTGTTTACTTGTTTATGTATTTGCTGAGCAAATTGAAGTCTCACTCGAATCTATTTCACTTAATGAAATATTAACTATCAGTTGGGATTTGCAATCACTTAAAACTAATCTTGAGTAATATTTCGCCGAAAGCTAGGCTTTTATTTGCTAGTATCACAGAGCCATTTTGTTGACTACAGGCAGATCACTATTATGGCAAATAATATGAAGGCACATAACCCATAAAGGTGGATAACGGACAGACATAAGAATCAAGAAGCCCCGAGAGGGCAGAAAGTGGGAGGAAGTGGCCATCATTCCCATGACTACAGTTATTATTTCATAGTAATGAAAAATACCGGATACCATTTCAATTTGATCAATCCGGACAAAGGTTCTCAGTGAGGTTATGACAATAGCGAAAGAATTGTGGTATTTCGAAATGCATATACGTTAAAGAAACAGGTGGCTACCCTCCCGTTTAGATTATTTGAAGGCCAAATGCGTTTACGGAGCCGTGTTTAAGGTAATTAGGTAGATTTGATAATAAGAAATAAGGATGGAATTTCTTATTTCATTTTATCTTCCACACTCACGAATTGTCCCTTTTAAATACACTTCTCTTTGTATTGGATGGAGCTTTATGCATTATTTAAATTAATATGTACAGAACTCTAAAGTCAGGAAGCAGATTTATAGGTTATTGACAATTTACTTACTGACCAGTAAATAGATAATAATTAAATTAATAATTAAGTTATGGAAATCTAAACTTTATAAAGTTTTTTTTCACCCACGATACTGGGTTAAATAGATGAAGCTGATAACAATTTAGCTCGGCGCCACACATTGAATTAAACATTCGACTGATTAAAACGGTAGGGGGGGGGGGGGGGGTTTAAAAACCAGTGGCCTAATTTACACCAAAGGGGTGCGCGATAGACTTACCTCCACGTGGTGCACCCTGGGCAACGTATACTCATACGGCAAAGAAGTCTATTAACCGGCATTTGACTTCTGACTTCAAAATACCATGGCCCAACTGCTTGTCACATTCGACCCCTTCCTCAGTACTCATCTTACCTTTTTCCCTACCGTTATGTCAGTCTGCCTCTTTTACATCTGTGAATCGCTCTTCTATTCCCCACCCCTCGACTTTCTGCTACTTTGATGAACCTTCCCTCTGTGAAGCCCGAAGTCAGCCAAATGGCTAATGATAGCTATCAAAAGGCCTGCCATTTGAAATAAAAAAAAATAAAATTTTCACCAAAAAAGTAATGAATCTGCCTTTGCTTTGGATGATTTAACTAGTGGTTAGTCAACGGTCACGTAATGACTTCGTGATGCTGAAAAAAAACAGAAGTTAGCCCCTTGGGTACTAATCTCGTCAATCAATACGGAAGTGTTCGTCATTACGCACACCAGTGTAGATGGCACATTTGATAAGGGAAAAACGGGCTTTAAACTGAAGTAACTTAGGTGACAAGATAGTTACCCATTCATACTTTTGTTTCCATTTTCTGTTCCCTAGTCCTCACTGTTAACTTTCTCAATAAATCCTTACTTGGACTACACTTTCTGCAGTTGAAATTAGGGACCGGCTGATGGGCACTGACACTCAGGTAGAACGTCGAAATTTTTCCTTTTCGATTCTTTTAGCTCCGGTTTTAATGATCTAATCTAAATTCATATTATCAGAAAATAATTCCTTAAAGTTATTTAGGAATTCACGGAACAAATGAGAGGGTTTGAGGCTAGTAACTGAAATTTTCGAATATTGGCTAAAAATGATGCTTCTTCTCTCTCCTAAAGACAAGGAGCAACTAAAGGAGCCAAAAAAAGAATATAACGTTTGAATACAATAGCCTAGCATTATTAATCATCCATTATACGAATAAGTTAGGGTTAATACAGGAATAAAAATTATTCAAGACGGCATTGACAACTAGTAAGATGGGTCTCGGTGCCTTGTCCCATCTCCATATTAGTTCGATTCGCAGCACTTCACTACCGCATGACTACGATTTCGGAATTTCATCACATTACCGCAAAGTCATTTGAAGTTAAAAATTAATAATCATAAATCGAAATCTCGATTGGAATTCACAGTGGCCCAGATAGAGCAGGCGACTTCCATCAAAGTTTGTCGAGGTTGGCACACAAACGACCTTTGTGGTCAATGGGGGGGGGGGGGAATTTGCCCAAAGCTCAGTGTATGTTCAGGTCACATCGAGAGGAAGAAACAGCTTTTAAAGAATTTCTGACTTCTAAACGATCAAGATTAATAACATTAATGCAATTGATTTGCGCTTTAATAAGTTATATGAAGGCCACGTCCTGATAAGTTTTATTGCATAGAAATTGCCCTCACACGAATCTAGAATTCATATGATGTAAGGTGCTTTAGATTCTCGTACGCCTCTTCGAGTTAACTATAACCGAAACATTCGTTACTCTTAAAGTTCATTCAAGTTCAAGTTGATACATACCAAGTTGATAATTGATTTTTAGGTCAGATTTTAAACTACAGCGTCATATCTGTGCACATAGCATCATAACAAACCAAAGTAACTCCATTCAACTGATTCTAGGTGCATTTAGTAAAATTATAAGTTTTTTTGTAATCACATTGGATTCGCCCTCCGTCACCAACCCATTTAAATGTCTTTTTAAATATCTTCATCTTCTTAGTCAAACACTTTATTTTGCATGGTAAAAGGGGATTGAAAAAAACAGTGCAGTGAAGTCAGAACATCAAAGTAAATCTTCCCAAACATGGCCTTTGAACGAAACAAAGGAATCAACATAAAGCAATTCCAAAAGTCGAACACAGTCTTTCGAGCGTACAAGCAGATAAAAGAGTGGCGTGCGTGAGTGCGGGCAGGTGGAAATACGAAAATAATTTGAGTCACTTAAGAAATGACACTAGCGGTGATAAGAGTGCAGACGTACTTTTCAATGAAACGCGACCATAATAATAATAAAAAATGATAAGCTCGTCAGCAAGACAGAGGTTTGAGTCATAGGACATAAAGGCAGTAAAATAGCGTATTTTCAAAGCACGAAAACCTAGAACGTAACCGCTTTTTGCAAAAATGCACTCTACTAAAGCGACTGCATGCATAGTGGCCATACAACAAATCGATATCCCACAAAGCTACCTAAGGAGAAGCATCAATTCAGGAAAATATCACCATCTGCAAACTAATAGCCTGTTATTTCAATTCGCAGTTTCTACATACTGCTTATGAAACAGCAACCGTTCAAATAACCAAATCTTTAATGTTTAATCCGGTCATCTAGCAGTACAGAGTGGAAAAAATATCAAAGCTACCAACAATACGCAGTCACGAGTAGGCATAATCCTTATACTCAAAGTAAAACAAGCTAACACCACAAGAGATTTAGAACTGGCGTCTTACAAAGACCACAATACTAGTAATGAACAAGAACACTGTGCCTTATTCCGAGAGGCACCCAGGGGAAGAGTATTAGCTACCCCTACATACCATTTTCCCATTATTGGGAGCAAAGATAAACAAATCAAACTGGTTTCAAGCAAATACTAATAATATGAAGTGTACACATATAATCCAACATTAAGATTAGAAGTTTATATAGCGCTTTGAGAGCTAAAAGATATAACTGATTCGCCAAGGAAGCCTAAAAGGAAACACAGGACGTGGTAATTGTAATAAGTATAAAAACGCTTTAATATTCCGAATTTAATACGGCTTATAAGAAAGCGTTCCCAGTGTAGTTATTGACCTAAGCAAAAGAGCACGTAACCAGGGAGAAGCAAAATAAATCCACTAATAGCAAGCAAATGAGCCCCAATGAAAGAACAGAAGAGCAGATTTAATAATAATAAAGCATTTTTTGAAAAAAATAACACAAATTACTGATTATCAGCACCAGCATTACTAATGTCGCCTATATTCTCTCCAACATCATTATTGGAGTTAACATTGACCTTTAGACCTGAGTTGTCCACGCTGTCGGCGGCAGCGCTAGGAGCAACGCCAGCGGCGTTGGATGATATTTGAGGACGATTCATTTGCTCAATGAGAAGAGTGAGAGAGCGTTGAGTGGCCGGTTCCTCGGCAAGAAGATCGTTGAAGGTACCGTCGACAAAAGCAGTTGGGAAACACTTGCTCAGCGCTTCACATGCTCTGAAAATTAAAAACGGAAAGCGCAAATGTTAAAGGGTGTTCGAGATAAATTTTAAAGAATAAGATTTGGCTGCTTTTACCGGATTTACTAAATGTGTTCACACATTACAATTCCATTAAAGGAGTACAACTTACTTCACTCATATGCATGATGACAACAACATGAACCTTAAGAGAAAATGACTTTCACCATTTCGATTCCAATCAATGACCAACAAAATAAGATTTGTCCAAAACATGTCGTATATCTTATATCGTACAACTCCCACTCATATTTGCTACCAATGTTACTTCAATATTTCATGCTCTACTATGGAGGTTGTACTCAATGAAGAGGCTCGTCATTTCGAGATCATAAAAATGTCGCAGAGGTCAACTTCTCTCAGGAAAGACCCACGGAAATAGGCAGACAAAGACAAAGCAACCTACAGTTAAGGTATAACGTATCAATGAGGCACTGACAATCTGGCTCCTTTCCCATTGTCTCAACAGGTGTTAAAACATATTGACATGGGTTCTAGGACAGGACAGAATTGAGAACCCAACAGAACCCACTGATAGTTTTTGGAGTAAAACCCCTTGTCAACGTGCCACCTACCTTTCCAACGATTTTTATTTCAATCCTTTAACTTGATCATTTACCAATCACTGCCCCTTTTTCTCTCTCGAGACTCTCAACATTGTCTCGAATACTCCTCAAAGAGATAGACGTCTTTTGCCATGAAAAAGTCAATACATTTCACATGAAGCATAAAGTGGATGCGCAGTTGGCACACCCGCCTACCAAGAGATCACTAATTCATATCCGCCAATCGGAATTACCAACCGTACCACTTTAAAGTGGTCAATGAAGAGACAAAAGTAGAATTTTCAATCTATAAGGTCATGTCGACTTGGAAGGTGAAACTGCAAGCGCTCTCCAACCTACCGAAATCACACTCGAAATTAGTTTCAAAGCCTCCAAGAACAATCAACTTCCAGCTTCTCCTATTTCAATCACTAGATTTGCAATTATGGGCCTCAATATCTGTGTCATTTGTGTACACGTGTAAGTGTCTTTGGCAGTAAATAGTGTCCTCAAGTTCACGTAATAAACATTGGACATTGAGATCACTAACAGTATCATAGCAGTGAAAGAGTAGGTGAGTAAGCTGCACTCAGAGTCTGGTGATATTCTGAAACGGTAAATGCTACGAAGTAGTTTGTGAAGCTGAAACTGACGAGTAGTAGTATAATTGACAACCCACTTTGGAAAGTGCACACAATTTTACTAAATTAAGAAGTTAATTTGGCTTTTGCCAATCGATTTCACTGAGTACAATGCGAAATGGTTAATTAAAGGCAATGTCTAAATCACATTTCCCCCATACTACTGTGACCCCAGCAGAATGCTGAAGGTTACTCAACTTGATGTAACGGTGACCATTTTGCACACAACGAATGACCTAATGCGACCTCAATTTTAAGTTGCTATCTTAGAAACAAGTCATGTTCGTTTCCATATACGAGTGAATCAGAAAACTGTCTAGGCTTAATAATGAGATGGTTACTGCACTTAATTTGTTTACAACCCACTTTTTTTAAAAAGATGAAGAGAAAAACCATACCGAGGGTTGTCAGCGAGGCGTTGATAGCACCTGATGACGTGTTTGAGCAAACGAATCGATCGCTCTCTGACCAATTGGCCAACCATAGCATTGAGAATGCTTGCTACATGAGAGAACCTGTCGTAGGTCTGGCAGATGTAATCCAAGCCTGTATTGTCCTGAAGCAGCTTTTGCATTATGAATGTGGCCACCTAAAAGTGAATAATACAACAAATAGTAATAAGAGTAATTCGATAAGCAATCATCGGAAATATATATATATATATTTCAAATGGCAGACGTTATGATAGGTATCATTAGCCCTTTAGTTGACTTCGGGCTTCACAGAAAGGAAGAGGAACACAAAAGTGGCAAAAAGTCAAGAGGGAGGGGGAACAGAATATGATTCACAGTAAAAGTAGTAAGATATACTACCAATAGGAAATGAGTACGATCGAATAAATAATCCCAATGAATAAATCTTGCACAAGGGTCAATAAAAGGGGTGTGTGATAGACTTACCTCCACGTGGTGCACCTTGTGCACCGTATACTCATACGGCAAAAAAGTCCATTACCTGGCAGTTGACTTCAAACTACCATGACCCCACTGTATGTCATATTCGACTACTTTCACAGTACTCATCCCACCTTTTTTCCACCTTATCTACCTTCGTCTTTGATACACTCTTCTGCCCCCCCCCCCCTCTTGAATTTTTTCCACCCTGATGTTCCTTCCCCTCTGTGAAGACTGAAGTCAACTAAAGGGCTAATGATAACCATCAAAACGCCTGCCATTTGATATAATAATGATAAAAAAGGGTCAATAAAAAGATTTAGTAGTTGAAAAATAGATATAAATTATTTACCGTCTTGCTCAGTTCGCTACCCGACTCCATGATCTGCAAACAGAGAGGAATTATCTCACTGTTTAGAAGAAAGCTGATAGCATCTGGTTCGTCAGTCTAAAAAGCATAATAATTAGAACAGTACAAAATTAGAGTTTGTCAAAAAAAGTAACTATGCTTACCTTAGCTAACGCGCCAATAACACCCAAACTTGTAAGACGCAAGTATTCGAATGGACGACTTTGGCTGCTGGTGTTAAGAAATTGATAAAGATAAAGTGGTATCTGAGCCTTTAAAAATTCACTCCGAGTTAAAGGATGAGACGCTAAACATTGCAAAAGAGCCAATGCATTGCACACTCGATTAGACTGATGGGCCTAAAACAAATAAGTGCAAGAATTAAAACTCGATATGGGCAGATATGGGGAAATTCAAAGTAAAAGTTAACCAACAGTCAGGTTTGGCGGATTAATGTAAGGATAAACCGCTGTTATTTCCTGAAGTAAAGCGGTTACAGTACCGTACGAATGCCATAGAAGTGGGGCGAAATTTTGCAGCGATTCGCGCATACGACTAAAAAATAAATGAATTTAAATTATCATTACCAAAGCTCCAAAAGTGCTTTCTCGCGACTTTCGACTGAGTTCAGATTGCTGACCCATTGATAAAAGTCAATTTCAGAGGTAGGATTCGATCCAACACCTTGAGAATTACTATTATTCCCGCTAACCATTGATTGCATTTTTAAGAATTAAAAATAAATCAACGGCTGATCGGAAAGCACTAACCGGGCTGTGTCGTCGCAAACGCGCACCTGCTGGCCAATAAAATGCGAGGAGGTTAGGAAAGGAATTTCGCCTGAGATGCGTATTGTATTTTAAACGAAATTTAAACAATTTTCTTATAAAAATATTAATACCAGAGTTAAACTTGATTTAGTTTTATTTAAATTAAATTATTTCAAATTATTAAATTATTTTAATTCAATTTATTTTTATAAATTTGAATACGAATGAATAATATGCTAAGTTTTATAAACCATCAATACATGTTTTAGTACAGCTTTGTAAAATTTTAAAAGGGATAAATTTTAATTAATCTTAATCTAATTAGCTTGATAAAATAGTTTTGAATCTTCTATACTAATAGTATAGCATAAATTGTTGTTATAACCTGCTCACCGGAAGAAGCGATTTAATGGATTTCCAAGGAATTTAGTACCATAGCCATTTCAATCCATCTCAACACTTACTACATCTGAACTTTTATAATACTTAAGTTGACCACATTTTCGCTTTTACGAATCATACATTGTCTTTGTAGCCATTTTCTGTCCACGTGCAACTGTGGTACACGCCAGGATTTGGAGGGTGCGGCCACATACGCAGAGCTCTGCTCAGAGATATTTAACCATTAATATTCCCTCAAATTTTGTTAAATTTATTTCATAACTATTCGCATTTGCTAATTTGATAATTTTCAATAAACTTGTTCTGTGCAATACGTCTCATTCTTCCCTAGCTTCGCTGTGGCTTAGCTAGTTTAGGGAGTCTAGCCAGATATATTGGAGATATTGCCGTAGAGATTTCTGAGTCGGTCAAGGCTTAGCTAGTGTAGCATTCCACTACACAACAAATAGTCAACATAGCAATAGTCAGATCGCCTGCATATACTTAATAGTTTCCGACGATGACGTATTTTGTGAAGTTAGGTGTAGGATTCTTGAAAGGATTCAGCCATACTAATTACAATCTATCTTCCAAAAAAACACATTGGCCTATCTGAGACCGTTTTTCATGTGGCAAAATGATTTTTAGTAATTCAACCTTAATTTTCATAATGTAGCCCTTTTCTGTGAAGATATGCACAAAAATTTATTTCACACCCATTGGTGAGAAGGATCAGTAAGGGTTATTTTCAGTCAACGCTTAGATATTGTAATCCCTCTTTCTGTAAATCAATGTCCTTATTAGTATTAATGGAAACCGATACTTGACAAATAGCATTGAAGGGCCTTTTTGGGAAAGTATTCGATCATATAACTGCCATTAATAATATTCACCATATTAATCCTCATATTATTCATTTTTGCAGTCAACCTTTTGTCTTTATTAAAGAGCTACATTACGTACAAACTGTAATTCGGCATTTATCTTCCCATCCCTATCAGAAATGTCATGTAACCAGCTTATTGTACCATTTTCGCGGCATGTTTGTCAAAGGTTATTGAAGACCCCAATTGCAATCAATCCTTTTTGGCTCGTCAAATAAGTGGTAAGATATTGGTCCCTTGGGGATTCCCATATCCTGTAGAACTTCACAGTGGTCTTTTTTCTCATAAGTCCAATTGGCAAATATTAAATAATAGCTGAAATGATACATGAAGTTCATCAGACCTCCATTCTTTCTTGTTCAACACCCCCCCATAAGATGAATATTTAATTATAGTCTTCGATATGGACTTTTCTGATAACTATAAAGCTTCTAATGCAATTGACAGTATTTTAAGTTAAATATAATGTAAAGAGGCTTCCGAACTAGTTGAGACAGTCCTTCAAATGGATTAAATACTTAGCTGCTTGTCTTCAGCTTAGTACTGAATACATAGCAGGGAATTCCACTTTGATGTGTGATGGTAGTTGAATAAAACACAGTACCACATGGTTGCTCCCTTATCAATTAGCATTGAGTACAATGGAGACGGTAACTTAATGACCTTGACACGGAACTTTATCAGCCTAGGCCCTGTGATTAACACATTCAGCGTTATAAGTGGGGAGCGCTTTTTGTACGTCGCAACAGTATCCTCCTTAATTAATACATGAAGGATATATGATGAGCAAACAAAAAAAAACTAAAAAAATCGATTTATTACGTAATATTGTCTTTTCTTTCAACAAAAGACTTAGTAGTGTAGAATGAGAGAATTATGGTAATTAAGCCATGTAGTATCTCTAAATCTTCTACATATACATATCTTCCCAACCCGGAGGGATAGCAGAATCTGGATCAGGGTTGTTGAAACGACTTCCTCTAGGTCCATTTCCACGAGAGGGCATCATTGGTGGGCCAATGGGATCAAAGCGGGCACCAGGAGGAACCATACCACCCTGGCCTCCCCCTGGAAAATTACCAGGTATGCCAGCAAAGGGACGTCTTAGAGCTTGTGAGGGATCAATAACCATTCCACCAGCACCCCCTAAAGGACCGGTCCAATCATTTCCCGCAAGTGGGTCGAGGTCACTACGTCCGTAGTCGCGCAGGGTTGGATCGATTGGAAATGTATCATGCTGACACATAATAAAATAGGTAAATTTAAAGCAATGATTTTGTGAAGTAAGATAACAATAAACTACAATTGACTTAGAGCTGAGGAGAGAGAAAAGACAGAAGTGGAGTTACACCCTGGCAATTATTGGCATGAATAAATGTCAACTTCATATTAATGATGTTGAAAGGTTAAAGCACTCCCGTGCTGATAACAGTTAAGCTGACTGGGGAGAGGTGCGCGTAAGCTTAGTAATAAGTAGAGTGAGCGCGACTTGGAGATGATCTTTCTCGCAGGCATTACATTATCTACTGATTTTTCTATATTTGCTCATTTTCATACTCTGGAAAGCAGTTTTTATTATCTTTTCCACTGCCCTGATAATGCACCTCCTGTAACAGAAGAGACCAACTACCCTTGCTTGATTTTACAACGGATCTTTTATCAATCAGAAATTTATAAAGCAGTGAGAAAACGGTTTTACAAACCAGAAATTCAGTAACTTCACTATGAGACTAAAAATGATAAAAGACATCAAAACATTGGTAAGCAACATTAATTTAAATTGGTTAATCCAGAAAGTCGTTAGAATTGAGCTCTTTCTCACAATTTTTAAAATAAAGCTAAAGCGACACAGCCATGTCAGAGGAAATTGGACACACCAAAACCAATGATGCCACACCCTTTCTGAATGGGAAAACTAGGAGCTAATTAGGAGAGCGTGGACAGTGGATAAGAGGAAGAAATAGGAAGAGGAGAGGAGAGGAGGGAGGAAGCCGGAAGAGAATTCAGATTTGTGTATGAAAGGAGAAGGTAACAGTACTGCGCGAGTGGAATTCTATGCGTGATAAATAGGACAAATTAATGCACAATGAGGAAGGTGACCGATTTCATGCGCCTTGTCCGTCGATGAGCAACAAGAAGAAAATGCCCTGGAATTAAAGCTGGATGACTAGAACCGATTATTTTGCTTTAAAATGAGAATAAATAATAGACAAGCAGAGAGCTCTAGAACAATGGAGAAAGTTTTACACGATAGAGATTAAGCAACTTCCCCCCAAAAGAAGACCAAATTAAAAAAAAATACAAGAACCCTGATTGAAAACATATGCTTAAATAAATTAACTAACAGATAGTCATTTGTGGTAGTCACATGGTTGCAGGGAAAAAATGAGTGCAAATACCAAGCGATTTACTAAAAAAGCGCAGACAAGCAAATGAGCCTAAACTAAAACGAATCAATGATAACTTGAGATATGTGCTGTAATAGACTCACACAACTCCATACGCAAATAGCCAATGTGAAGAAATGGTTATTATTCACCTTTATAACTCTCTTGTGACCGTTCCATCTTCCGTGGTCTGCCTACAAGGTACTGTACACAATGAATCTTTATTTAGATAACGATGTCTACGAGCTCAAAAAACAAATGAAAATTAGGTACCTCGAGGGTAGCGCTGTGATCAATAAATATAAATAATGGGGATTAATACCCCTCCAACGTTTAATGATCGAAATGCACACCCCAAATTGAATCATTTTTATAACTTAAATTGTTTTGATTTTTTACCAACAGTATTAACGCATTACGATTAATTTGGTGAAGGGATAATAGCTAATCAAATATTTGAGAAAAGGGTTTAAATGATATTAATTAAATTAAGATTTCATATTCGGTGACGTGGAGAGAGGGGGAGGGGGCATAAAAGCAATCCAATGAAATAGGCACTGCCAGTCCAATCCTAAATACATGGACAGATCGAGATATGCATTTTTTGTCAAAATGATAGCCACAAATGAACCAATAATGCTTGTGTTAAAATATAAAATTAAAATAAATATTTAAAGCCCCTAGTAAAACATTTACTAAGGGTTAAAGAAAATAAATCTTGATGAATTTTTCTTTATAAAAATAAAGATTGCGCCATTTTTTTCATTGTTTTTTACACCAAGAATACCCAAGTTCTGGCACTGGGAAAGATGGTTTGAAATCATTTGAAGTTTTATTGTTACATGCTTCAGAAAGAAGAAAGCTTGCAACATAAAGCATTCGAGTTGAAGAAATTGGTGGCAGTACCACTGCCAACTTCAGTAACCAAAGCATATATGCTTTTTCCGTTAAAAAATCAGGATGGTGGCCTCCTTCAACAACCTAACACGGTATAATTGATTTGTGATTTGGGTAACGTATACCCATAAGGCAAAAAGTCTATTAACTGGAAGTTGACTTCTCACTTCAAACAAGCATGACCCCACTGAATGCCATTTTTGACCACTTCCATAGTACTCATCTTACCTTTTCTCTGCCTTTGTGTCTGCCTGTATATCTTACATCTGTGAATCACTCTTCTGTTCCCCCTCCACTTTTTCTCACATTGATGTTCTTCCCCTCTGTGATGCCCGAAGTCTGTCATTTGAAATAAATAAATTCCTCGCATTATTTTCCATCAATTAAGACCGAAGGGAGTGCATAAAAAAGATAAACTGTATGTGCGGAGTTCCAGTTTCATAAATTAGGTGTAAATGGAAATGCGAATAACCAATCAAAAACGACTGTAAGATTTCGACTCCATTGTCCGAAATATGGATGCTACAAGAACCATATGAAAAGAGGATGGCTCCGAAAACAAATGAAAGCCTTTATTAAGATTTCCAGTTTGAAGAGCAAGGTGATAAAAAGAAAGAATAAATCAAATAGACCTTCGACTCGATTATTCTAAAGTTTCGATAAAATAAAGTTCTCTTGATAAACTAACTGCCACTTATATTGCAAAAATATCACCTCCCCCACCCCTTATTCAAAATTAAAATACTCCCTGTGAGTTTTACTTTCTTATCTGTTCGGATGTTTACTTTGATTAAAAATATGCAAAAAAGTAAAGAAAAATCTCCTACCCTACGAGATTCACCACGGGGTGGCTGAGTACTGGAAGGCTGAGAGGGCGATGGTTTTAAGCTACTTAGTTTCGGAAAAATTACTTTCCACAGATTTTTTTCCAGTTCGTCCAAAGCACTCTCAAGTTGAAGAAATACATCGGCTGGTTTATTTAGAGAATTCGTTTTTACAACATCAAGACGGACATGCGCTGGACCCATTAGTTCCAAATGTCCAAATTTGTCAGTGGTGAGATTAGTCGCATTGAGAAAAACACTGTTGTCGGTCTGACTTATGGCAAGTTGTACCTATGAAACAAAATAATAAAAAATTAGCTAAAAGTAGATTAACGAAAATTAGGACACCTGAAATGAAGCTCACTATATCTTTATCGGAGCCATCTTCATTAAGTTTGGGAAGTTTATATGAAATACGTATAGGATCCGACTCGGCCCAATTATGTGGGAGCACTGAAACTTCTCGTAGCTTATCATTGTCTACTAGACGCGCCCCTCTGGATAATAAATCCGCATGGCATAGTAACGCCAAATATGCTGATCTTCTGCCGTTAGTTTGGTTACAATGCAGATTGATTACATACTCCAGAATACTATATCCAATGGCATCTAACTTCATCGTCTTGTCAGAGGGCATATTAAGATGGGCTAACTTAACGGAAAATAATACTGACTCAGCCAATATCAAAATCAAAATATAACTTTTGTTACAGTTACAATCGCATTTAATTTATTTAAATTAAAAAAATTTTACCACATTAATTGAAAATATATGTATTACTAAATAGCAAAGAAACCTCAGAAGACTTAATAGGCTATTCCTCCATTACCATTGGTTAGTGTTTTGCACAATACCTCAAAATGGTAAATGCTCACATTTGTGTCCTTAATGCATTTGAATTAATTCTAGTTCCATTTTTTGTATTTATATTGCTACAGCTAAAATTTTGCTCCATAGTGTTCGTATTAAATTCCTAGTGTTTTAGGATAGGTTTATATGTGGAAATGATCTGTTTGATAAAGCACCCCTTAAGAAGCCGCAGACCTCCACTCTCGGAATTCCAAATAGAAAGGCATTTTGTGAGCCATATAATCCGGAGGAAATTGAAAATACATTTTCTAAATTCTTTACACAGTTACGTCAAGAATGTTCTAGTCTAAACAGCAAAATATCTCATGGTGAACTGTTGCAGTCTGGTAAAATTGGTCGTGTCGACCCTTGCCTAGTCAGACTAACTATTAATCGTGGAAAGTTGCTGCGTAAATATGGATTTTCTCTGGCGGATGGTTCGCAATGCTTTTATCCTGAGGAAGCGTACTACTTATCACAGTGCAATAAGCTCCAGGTCTATGATGGTGGTCTACCCCTAAGTCTTCAACAACTATTTAACACTCTGTTCCGAAAAGATACAGAATTTGCCAACTATCTTGTTTACGTCAGGCTTACGAAACAAGGATTTGTCCTTCGCCGCCGTAAGAATCTCAGCGAATCTAACCTTCAACCGCTTGAATCTAAGATAATTACTGTTCCTATCGATCAATTTTCTCCAGAATTGACAATAAAATCAACTCGATACTATAATTCCAAAGAAGTGGTCATCGTCTCTCCATTATCTAAACCTTTTTCAGAAACCCCTGATTTTGTCCCTCCCAGTTCATTCTATTCTCATGATTTCAATCCGGAAAAATACAAGGACCTCGTCATATTTGATGTCTTTGATGACCGAAAGGGCGATTTTAAGAAGAATATGTCGATCGAACCTAAATTTGTTCTCTTGGTGTTATTGTCAAATGATATGGGGATTTTCCCGCCTAATGAATGCTTTCGTAGGAACTTTGGGATCAAACCTGAGACCAAAATTCTTGTAGCTGTTGTAAATAATGGTGATGTACATTTCATGTGTACCAATTCATTTTCTATACCAACTATTAAACGTGTATTGATTTAGACATGGTTGTTATATTTCGATATATCCTCCCCTGAAGTGGCTTATTTTCTTCTATCCACACAGGTACTAGAAGATTCCTTGCTCGTGATTGAAATTATTTTCGTTGACTTAATGTTTCTAATCGAACGAATCGTGTCAAAGATAGGGTTCGGAGAATTAAAGAAATATCTTTTTTCTCCGTCTCTCTGTTTCCCCTTATAAATGTCTTGTGTACTCAAGCCTAGGGAGAAATGGGTGAGGGGAAATGAAGTTCAAAGATAAAATTAAAAGCAGCTATATAATGAACTATTGGCTCTCCAGTTAGCTAATAATGCATCGGTGGTGGTTTTTCTTGTCAATTTGTACGAACGATTTTGTGTACAATTCAGAGTACAAAGCATGATGCGTATGATTTTCGCTCGGTTGCACCAAAACTACTCGATTTTAATTCATAACACTTACAGTATACCATTTGTGGATTTGTGTGAATCAGTGTTGAAGCTAAGATTTAGCCGTGCCAGCTGACGAAGCGGTTCCGTCAATTTTGTAATAAGATAATCGATTCAGGTAAGATTAATTTATTGTTCTTCTCATTCGTTATCTTCTATGACCTTAACAATATGGGAGACGGGAATACGAAGCTCAGAGCAGTATTTAGTAAAGTTTACTAATTTGTCGGTCGGGGGAAAAATTAGGTGGGATAAGGCAAAGCAGTAGGTTGTGTTAAGAAAAAAAACCACCAGACTAACGTGATATGCTAATGAATCCTTCGAATTCAGAGTAGCTATCCAAGCTCGAATGATCAATCTTACAGCGGAGAGCAATGTAACGTCCTTATCTCAACTTTTTATGTTGTGGGACACGTTGTCGCTTTGTGTGTCATCGTATGCCTGCATGGCAGGATTGGGAGGTGCGGCCGTACAACTCTGTGGGCAGCGACTGTACAAACAGTGGCCAATCAGTAGCCTCCGTTTGTTTAACCTAATCCGCCATCCTGATCATGAGTAGCTCCCTGCGTGTACAATGTATCCGCAATATACCCACTGAATAAACGTGTTCCGTGCTGCACGTCTGTTTCCTTTATAGCTGGGTTATAGCTTAGCTGGTTGTGGGAGTCTAGCTAGATGTTGGAGAATCTGCCATAGAGATTTCTGAGTCGGTCAGGCTTTACTAAGGTAGCAATCCGCTACAAGACTATCTCAGATGTTTATTAGCTAGTGTTAATGACCATAAGATAAAAGTAACTGTTGCCATTCTTTCCATTTCATTCAAAATTTTATGAAGCATAATGTAATGAGCGGAAAATATTCCGTTTCAAATAAGCAGGACAAAGGTGTGAAACGTTAGCTATTTCTAATTTAAATACCAAACATATCGGTCAAATTTTCCTGTGGGCAGAAATGAAAGCTCTGCTCATACGACTGTTGCTAAAGGTGAATGGGGATAAATGGGCAAACTTTTTGACCTACATTTACAGGAACGAGGTCAAAATGGATCAAATTTTCAAAAATGATAAACAGCTTTGGAAATAAGGGCATTGTGGGGGTAAACGACTATTTTTTCTACACGTATAGCTACCAAGAGTAAAAAAGGTAAATATTTATTACTTGTGGCTATTTTATGAGACTTAACATGGAGAATAGTAGTTTGAGCTGGGAAAAGAGAGGTGCGGATTCAAATTCTCAAATTTAGAAATTGACCGACAGGAGTCAGACTAAGGATGAGCCTCAAAGTTGGACCTCGAAAGGTTTTCACCCAAGTGAAAACAAAGAACAAATATGAGAATTCCAGAGAGAAAGCGATGTAAACGAACTATCATCAAATAGAAGATTCTTCATGATTTATTGTGGTTTCTACAATTACCTAGTTTTGCTTAAATAAAGCTGAACACTGGAAGCCGGGTACGCCTTATAGCAAATAAATATAATTTATGAAGAGGAGTGGGGCTGACATCACCAAACACATTATTTAAATTAATATCACTTAGATAATTTATCCGGGTCAATTGACAAAGAGCAGAAGATTGTGCAACGTGTTGATAGCAAATTTATATTTTTTGCAAAATTCAATAAGAACAGAACAGTGGGTAAATTTTAAATGTAGATAGTTACATTAAATTACCATTTAATGAAACGTTCAACCTCGCCTCAAGGACTATATAAAAAGCAAAATATTTAGTCCTTTAATTAATTAAGACAAATTTAATAGATTTTAACTAAATTATCTTTACAAACACGTTATTTTGACTTCTTGTTTTTGTAAACCGCCATATTGGCGTTTATTTTTGCATATTTGTGTTGTTCAGTTTGATACTTCTCCAAAATGCCTGTGCGCTTGACTACTTGCGACGATGGAGTCTTTGAGGTTGATGCTAGTGTCATTAGACAGGCTGTCATGATTAGGGATATTCTTGATGGTATGTTTCTAATCACACTTATCTGGTGGTCTCAATTTGGTCCGTAATAAATGTTTTAATTAGAAATAGCTTTCGAATTCGTTTTTTGACTTATTTAACTTAAAGTTTGGTTTATCTGAGTTTTTCGTAAGCTCTTTTACCATGTATTATAATTTATTTTACAGATGTTGGCCCTGATGCTGCTGAAGATGACGAGCCAATTCCTCTCCAATTCGTTAACTCGGCCATTTTCAAAAAGGTGATTCAATGGTGCCAATATCATAAGGATGATGCTCCGCAACAAGATGACGACGAAAACAAAGAAAGACGAACCGATGATATCTCTAGTTGGGATCAGGAATTCCTCCGCGTTGATCAAGGAACTCTCTTTGAGCTCATTTTGGCCGCGAACTACCTCGATATTAAGGGACTTCTCGATACATGCTGCAAATCGGTTGCTAACATGATAAAAGGGAAAACGCCTGAGGAAATTCGAAAAACCTTCAATATCAAATCAGATTTTACACCTCAGGAGGAAGAGCAGGTTCGTAAGGAGAATGAATGGTGCGAAGAAAAGTAAACGCACGTATTTGGGCTGCATTTTATCTTGTTTCTTCCCTATTTTTCCCACAACATACACGATACTCAACACACTACATGAAATGTAACTGGTTGCTATAATTTCATGCTTATCCAGGGACTTATCCTCAGCTCTTAAGTATGTTGCTGAATGCATTACATTATTTCATCCAAGTTTATTTTTTATATTTAAGCTTCCATTGTGATTTCATGTTTGTTTGGAGGGGCTTATATTCAGTGGTTTACATCATTTAATTTAGCTTTGAGATACGTTTGATTCATGATTTCTCTTTAGTTAGTTTTTGTAGCTTAAATATAACTAATCACCTGAGTAAACTAATCTTAAGTGATTAGTGCTTAAGTTCAAGTCCAGACCACGTTTAGTGCCCTTTTTGGTCTTCCTAGATGTACTCTATTTTGCGTTTAATTTAAGATATAAATCTACGAGTAAATTCTAATCCCTTCAATTTTAGAATTAATCTCACATCTTTTGATGACCTTGTAATCTTCTTTAATGGGCTATGTGTAGTTTATAATTTTTGCTTGCACGTTGACGAAATTTAAGCTTACCTCACATGTAAACAAGGTGAAGCTTAGGTTAATAGCTCTCAACGAATATCTGGACATTTGTGAATGCTTTACGTGCAGTTTTTTAGCTTAAGAGAAAGCGATTGCTCCTAATGTACATGTGTTTCAGTGGTACTTTCAATTGCGAAAAAATATTTGGCTCAGACACATGAAGCTGGATAATTTATGTATTTGTCTTTTTAGTGTTCTATGCCTTTTAATATAATTAGTTATTGGAAAAATCGATATGAATTTTTAATTTGTCATTAAACAGCGTTTTCGAATAGGTTGTTAATAGGATATTAATAATTTTGGTATAATTCGAAGGATTTAGAAAGAAATATGAACTCTTGTAACCCAACGATAAGTCTTTAAGACCTTATATGGTCTTAAATGTGTGGGGACTTGTTATGTACCTAGTGAGCCAATAAGAGCTGCAGCGATGATTACCGCCTTTGATGCAATTTTGGTTTTTGGAGGCAGCTGAAATTGGTTAACAGCGAGACAAAAAATGATGTAGGGAAAAGTTCAAAAAGAACTTGAAGCTAACTTCTAGACATTGTGAGATTTTATATCAGGGATACAATGGACCGCCGTAAGCAATCAGATAAAGAGAAAATATGGATTGCATTGGCATTTAGAAGATCGAAGGATGAGCATCGGGGCGGGGTGAGTTGAAATAGGGCTAGCATGAGAGCTTAAACCTAAGTATATTAGAAATAGTCAAACAGCCTTTCTAGTCTATTGGAATCACGCAGCTCTGTACAATGAGTATCATTATAGAGGTGTGTGTCGGTGTGGAAACTGCCATTAAGGTTATTTATTTCAAATGGCAGGCTTTATGATATTTATCAT